ATTTAAATATAATGTAAATGTAAATAACAAAACAAATTTTTTTTTTAAATTTTAAAACAAGCCCCAAATCAAATAAATAACACAAATAAAATAAATATCTTCATATAAACAGGCTTTGTTTGTGCTCTTTCCATTTAAAATTAGAAGCAACCACTGCATTTTAATCATGACCCAAACAAAGATGCTGCATACATGCAACATGAGCAGTTTTTAATCTAAATTAGATTGTATAATTTCGAAATTTGAAGCAAAAACAGAATGGTTTGACTTCAGTTTTGTGAAATTATGCATAAAAAATATCTGCATGAAACCGAAACAGCAGACGAGCAGAATGAGACGCAGATTCACTCTCTGCCAGCAGGTGGCGCTTAAAGCGTTTCCTTGGTTTCTGCTGTAAACAAAGCAGTGCTGCACTTATGAACTTTAATATGCATTATACAGAGGCAAGATGAATGAAAAAATACCATCTAAACTTTTCTAAAGACAGTAAGTTCTTCTCAGACATACATTCATATAAACTCCTACCACTAACTGAATCACGATTTGTTTAGCATCTCAACCGATTTGAATCGTCACATATTTGAATCGATTTTCAACCAGCTCACGGTTAATCGTTACATCCCTAATATATACATATATAATTTATTTTTTTATATAAAAAATACAAAACTATTCTCACCTCAGCAGTACAATTTAGACAATGTTCCAGCTGTACACGCATTACAAACTGAGGCATGAGTCAAAATAATTTTCTGTGGCAATTCAGAGTATGCCGCAGATGCTTGTGAAATATTAAACTGCATTTATTCCTGAATATTACTTTAATGCACAATACATTTACAACTGTGCAGTGAGAATGCAGTCCTTGTATACCTCAGGATCAAAGATGTCACGCTTGTTCTTGATAGCTTTTTTCCTCCAAAAGTACTCCTTGGGTGCTTTATCCTTTTATATAATAAACAGCCATGAGTTTTCTTCTCGACAACTTTCTAGCTGTCAAATAAAATGATTACAGCAGCCATATATAGAAGTAAAAATGTCCAAAAAAAGGCTCCAATCTACAACAAACCCAGTTAGATATTACTGTTGTGTCCAAAAATCTCAAATAAGAATACTCCCAAGAAACACCAAGGTTCACTTATGAGAACTTGTGAACAGTTCACCTAGCTTGTTGAATTTCTGCTCCCACAGTTGAGCAACAGTACGACGTTAGTGTGAATTCATGCTGTGATTGTAGGAGGGGAGGGAAGGGTCAGATAAGGATGAGTCAGAACATCATCTGTCCAGATGCTCCACCTGCTACCCAGCTTCCTGTCTCCCCTCCTTTATCGTTCTCCGCTATCCAGTAATTTAAGCAACCGAAGACCTCTTATTATAGGTTGCAACTTCTCGAAAGTAAATATGGGCACAAACACTTTGGACTATGAAATCTGGGTTGAGCCAAAGAGCCAACATGCCATCCATGCCAGAGCTTATCAGTGGGCACTGCTAAATACATCACTGCTTCTCTCACCATTCATGGCATTCTGACACACCAGAGTCAATCCATTATTTTCTAAAGCTGAAATTCGCATGGCCTGGCTGGGATAATATTTTTATGGATAGTCCCCAATGAATATTTTGCAACCATTCATCACAGAAAATGGCTATAAGTATACTGTAAAAAAATGACTGTGAATTTAATGGTAAAAGACTGTAACAATGCTACAGTAAAAACCTGTTAAATGGTTAACGGTAAGTTGCCCTACTATATACATTGAAAAACTGTATTGGACATTACATGTAATTTTATGGTAGTATACCGTTTTTAGAAGACGTGAAAAAGAAAAACATATGGAGGTCTAAAGTAACTAGACTACTAGACTAACTAAAACAGTTCTCCGTTCATGGAGACTGAAAGCAATGTCTCATCAACAACACAATGATCATGATGCATTTAATTTTTTCTTAAAGTATACTGTAAAAAACATCGTTAAATTTAGACTATGAACTGTCAGCTGTGCATGCCAGAAATTCACAGTAAAAATACTGTGACAACCAACAGGGCAACACACGTGGCACTAAAATTATGCAATAAACATGAATATAACAAATAATAAACAAACGACACTACGGAAAATCCATAAAAATATGACCTAATGTACTGTGTACTATTTGTACCTTCATAATGTAATATGAAGGAATTGATTCTGTATGTAACGGTCCACAGCAGCTCTGATGCTGATGTTACCGGCGAGACCATGGAGGCTGAATGCAAAACACATCTCCTCCTCATCATCATCATATGTGCCATCATGAAGAGTGTCTTACAGCTGTACCCTGACACATGAAGGAGGAACGTAACATGCCCCCCCCCCCCCCATATGGGTTTTGCAATGGCTGATTCTTAAATTACTACATTTGTTCGACCCCCAGTAGTCTACTGAATATATGGCTATATCCGTGACATAAACTATAAGATCAATAAAGCAGAGTGAACCACAGTGATGCTTTCTGTAACCTGACAACGCTGTGCCTGGATTTACATGAATGAAACCATGGCAGAAGGACATTTTTATTGCTTCTGAACACCAGCCGACCCTATCCGACACAATCCGAGCATATCTCACCACCTCCTCCTAAAATGCGCAGCATATTTCTCACCTTTTCAACGCGCAGAAAACGTTCGCGCACATGTCTAGCGGACCCCGTTTCCATCAGCTGCGCTGCTGAAATGTTTTGCGCGGTGCAACACTCCAGTAATTTCTGGATCGTGGACTTGCAGTGACACTGGCAGAGACTGGCATTCAGAGCAGCAGCAGCAGCAGCAGCATCACGTCGGTATGGACTGCATTCCTGCCCCTCCCCTCCCACTATTAGCGCTAGTGATTCATCTCAGTGACTCTTTTGAATCAGTTCGCTAAATGAGTCATTCAGTGACTCTTTATGCAGTTACATCGTTACGCCGGTAGGTGGCGCCAGGTGAGTGTCATTTTGTGCGGTATTGAATCTTTCACGTTGAGTCATTGATTACTGAAATAAGATTTATTATCCTTTTTCATTTTTGCCTGCCTACAAATCTTTTAAGAAAACATAAGTGTTTTTCTCACGAATTACAACAAAGCATATCTTACATTTTACCCCATTTACTCAACTGCCTGACATGACATTTAATTAAGCTATAGAAAAACAATGGTAATCGCCTAAACAAATTAGGAATTACATTTATTTGAATCGTGTATGGTTATTAGTAGTGCTGTCTAACGATTAATCGTGATTAATCGCATCCAAAATAAAAGTTATTGTTTACATAATATATGTGTGTGTGTACTGTTTATATATATATATAAAAATACACAAACATGCATGTATATATTTAAGAAAAATATATGTTTATATATTAAATATATTTATATATAATATAAACTATAAGAATATAAATATATACACATGCAAACATTTGTAAATATTTTCAAAATATATATTGTATGTGTGGGTGTATTTGTATATACACATCATAAATATACACAGTACATGCACATATATTATGTAAATAATAGATGAATCGTTTGACAGCACTAGTTAGTTATTTTTTTACACATTCATAATTCTGTTTTGAGAAGGAGATGGATTCACATGACAAGATCAACGAACATGAACACGAACTCTGGTTCATTCAGCTGCTGATCAGCCTGGTGTTTGTTTGTCTCTCAATCAGTGTCACTCCAAATCTCATTCAGACTTAAACATTGCATACTACTCGTATCAGGCTAGTTATGCAGATGACATAACTGCAGCACACGGTTACAATAAAAAGACCATCATCATCCATCGGCATGGATGATAATATTGATATCACTATAGTTATCATTCTTGCTTTAAATGCACGCTTCAGTTATGTTGTACTCTGGCTTCTGATTGGCTGTGAATGTTTGTTTTTATCATTCATCAGCTGGGAAAAAAAAAATTGTTCTGAAAGTGATTCCAACAATATTGTTCCTCCGTCATTGTCGTTACAGCTATGCCACGGATTCCATATTCTCATAGATTTATTCTCAAGTTAGATTTATCGTCCCTGGTGTCAATAGGTCTGTTGACACCAAAAACGATAATTAGCTTCTATATTGTAAATATTTGAGCTTTAAATTTAAATTTTAGCTTTAGATTCTGATTGGCTGTCAGTTTTGTTGAAGTGTTGATTCATCAGCTGGGGAAAAAAAAAACTTTCTAAATGTGATTCCAACAACATATTTCCTCTGTTATGCTTATAACGTGTGGACGTCCCTCTTCTCATAGAATCAGAATATCAAAACTTCATTATCTTCCCTGACTGTAACAGTATAAAGGTTGAATATGAAAATAGGCATATAAAAATACAAAACAGATTAAAAAAAAGTTATGCATAAGATATATAAAGACATGTCCATTCTGCCAAGATATTGGCACTGGTAAATCCAACCAATTAAATATTCCTTCGCAGTCCTCCTCACTACTTGCACGTGCTGAAGTCAATATCTAAAGACAGGAGTGCAGTCAAAAGGGAAATATCAATGGATGGTGTATAGAAGTGAACGAGAATGATTCACTTAAAAGCCTCGTTCATAATCAGCGATTCGTTCAAAACACCACACTGGGGAGACCATTCCTCACACCAGGAGGGATCCCTCACACTGTAACATCTTCAACAAGACCACATTTGCCTGATCAATGAATAAAAGCATCTCTCCGTAACCTGAGGCATGGCATATCGATACAGCACGGAATCTACTGGCTGCCATCCCTTCGTATTGTTTGATAAACACATGAAGGCGATGAAGTCAAAAGTGAGCTCCCTTCCACAACACAAAGTGGTTTCATCTTTTATGCACAACAACGTCAACTGTGCACGTAATAGCTGAGCTGCGTGAAACTGTTTAAAACGACACAAATGACTTAAAAAAAATAATCCGCGTGCTTAGCTCGCTGCTATTAGGTCCATTTAAAGCACACAAAGCCATCGAGCAGCTCTCATTAAGAGCTCGCAGCAGTGCAAGGTTGAGGCGCTGTATAAATTAAACACATTCTCATATGAATACATGTCTTATTAAACATGATGTTTAACGGGCTGTCCGTCCTACCTGCATAACCAGCGGGCAGCCATTGGTGCGTCTGTGTTTACAGATTAAACACAACGCAATTTTCGTTCACAAGCACCGGGCATACATGTCTACTGACATAAACCAGCTGGCCAAGCGAGACCCGACGAGTTACGAAGAGTTGAATTCATTTAACGTCAATAACACGTGTCATGTGTCGTTGTCTAGTTGTTTCCAGGCGTTTTAAATTAGCGCGAGACTATAACAAAATTATATAACGTTACTCCCTATCATTCAAAAAAAACTGGGGTCAGTAAGATGTGTAAATGTTTGTGAAAGAAGCCTCTTATGCTCACCGAGGCTGCATATATATACCCAAAATACCGTAAAACAGCAATATTATTGCAATTGTACAAAGTTGTAATTTATTCCTGTGATGGTGTGTTTCCAGCATCATTACTCCAGTGTCACAGGATCCTTCAGAAACCTTTCTGATATGCGGATTTGCTGTGACTTTTTTTTTTTTTACAGTGATACATTTTCAGGATTCTTTAATAAATAGAATTTAAATTCAAATATTCAAAAACACTATTTAAAATTGAATTTTCATGTAACAATGTAAACATTTACTGAAAGCATTGTTTCTTTTCAAACACACACACACACACACACATACACACACACATACACACACACATACACACACACACATACACACACACACATACATACACACACATACACACATACACACACACACACACACACACACACATACACACACACACACATACACACACACACACACATACACACACACACATACATACATACATACATAAATGGGTTAGTCAAAAAAAAAAGTTCTACAATGCAGATTATATTGCAATATAAACATAATCTTTTACGTGAAAACTTGTTGGTTTTATAGTTCTGTAACGCATGGAATGTTTTGGTCGTTCAGTTTGATTGAAATCCGAAGCACAGGAAGTAGAACGCGCCAGAGAGTTACACAGATCTGTATTTTTGTTGGAAATATAATTCACATAAAACACAATGCACTCTTTACAGAACGCGACATGTTGCGTTTTTTTCTCAGAAAACAATGATATAAATCCTCTCTTGTAGGAAGTACTGACGCATGAGTGAGGGAAAGGACTTTTATTTTAAAATCATCCACCATGTTATAATTGTACTGAAGATGCATGCTGTCACTGAAGGGTTGGGCATGCTATGCTGAATAAAACCTTTAAAATAATAAATAAACATTAAAAATATATTTACTTATGGACTAGAGAGTTTTTTTTGTATCTTAAGAGAACAGAGCTGATTAAGAGAATTTAGAGGGAAATTTTTTTATTGAAGTAAAGAAGTTTTTTTTTTCTTGTCCTCTCATTATGAAAGGGTAAACGCTGGTCCACACTCCAATACAGTAGGTGGCGATAATGCACCTTAACATTGGTGCTACCCGCCATAAAACCGAGGAAGAAGAAGATGCTGTCACTGAGGCTAGGAGACATCGTACTTATTAATTCTGATCAAGGCAAGCAATGACTTATCAACGATGAATGTAAAAGCAGGTAGTAATTTAATATTTAGGTCTCTGCGTCCGTGTTACACACACGCTCCTCTGTTATTAAGGAGTTCCTGTCGAGGTCATCGACAAAGCGCAAGCCAACCTCCAAAACATGCCGAGGTTTGTCGTTCACCAGCTCTGTCAAATTAACAGCAGTGTAACTGTTCTTCTACACATCTGACACCTATCTAATTATTATTACTGCTTTTTTTATTTAGAAATGTAACTTGCATATAACACTGGAGCACAAAAGCAGTCTTAAAAAATAAATTGTATGGGTCAAAATTATAGATTTTTTTAATGACATTAGGATATTAAGTAAAGATCATGTTCCATGAAAATATTTTGTAAGTTTCCCACCATAAATATATCAAAACGTAATTTTTGATTAGTAATATGCATTACTAGGAACTTCATTTGGACAACCTTTTTTTTTTTTTTTCAATGTTTTGATTTTTTATTTTTTTTTGCACCCTCAGATTCCAGATTTTCAAATAGTTGTATCTCAGCCAAATATTGTCCTATCCTAACAAACCATACATCAATGGAAAGCTTATTTATACAGCTTTGTATAAATCTCAGTTTCAAAAAATTGACCCTTATGACTGGTTTTGTGGTCCATCGTCACATATATCTTTTCTTTCAGGTTTCTTAATTCCTATTGATGTTTAATGTTCATATATCATTTTAATAATACAAATAGTTACTACTGTAGGTGCAGTTGCCCGACATTGCCTAATTTTAACTAGATTTATAGTTGTTTCTTGTTTTTTGGAAATTTCTTATGCTGCCTTGTTTTAATCCTTTTATTATAGAGGACTGGATTCAGTCCAGCAGCAACATCAAAATATGACTGGATCGGTCCACCAGACAGACTGTCAAACCTGAGGCCGATCATATATCACATCCCAGAGAATGAGACGCCACAGGAAAGGAAGTTGAGGCGTCTGAGACAGGAGACTGAAGACTGGAACCACGAGTTCTGGGCCAACCAGAACATCACATTTAGCAAGGTGTGAACCACAGTTGTACGGTGCAAGCTTAAAAACCACACAGTTTGATGCAGGAAACACATTTAACATGTTGAGTGATTACTGTAACTATTGAAATCCTCCATTATATCACCACTAGGGAGCAGTTTTGTGTTGTAAATATTTCTTCCTGTAAATACTTGCTGAATATGTTTAGTATGCAGTAGAAACTTTGAGAATGGATTTTTTTCTTCCTTTTTTTTTTTTTTTTTTTTTTTTACTCTTAGCAACCGCATAACAATGTTGGCGAATTTTGCACAGATAAGCACCACTCACCTCATCAAGTTCGTATTGTTTCAATTATTTATTTATTTTCTAACAGGAAAAGGAAGAATATGTGAGATCACAGCTGTCAGCAAAAGGGTTGTCGGAGAGAGATGATGATGGTGAGCTGTCTAAATATGAACACTACCTACAGTATATTTATCACACATAACCAAATGTACATGTGTAAGAATCGATGATCATTGAAGAACTCTTATTGATCGACCTGATAATTGAATCTTAAAGTTGTTTGGGACATGCCTTCTGTATAATCTGCCATTTATTATGGTTCCAGGAAGGAAAAGGACTTTAAGCAGTGAGGAAATGGCAGTATTTTACAAACACTTTTTAGACAAAAACATTACAAGACATGCCAGTTATAACAGGTGAGATAAATACTCAAATACATACAATAATATAATAAAACCTGTTGTATATAATCTTTTGCATGCCTTCTGCCATGTGATTAATAATTCATGCTTCTTTCACAAGTAAAAGACTGTTTATTTGTTCATCTCTCAATCATCACTGTATTACATTGCATTATATGTTTTTACCCCACAATAAAACTACAGAACTTTGATCAAGCATTTAAATATCATCTTACTAAAACATTATTTTGAGATGTAGAGTGACGACTGATATTAATATGTATGTTATGTAAATAGTCTGCTATAAAGATCTCACTGATTTACACTACAAGCTGTCAGAATTGCATCTTGCTTTTTAGCCATATAAATATCAGCAACTGCAGCAACTTGCATATTTTCGCTTAGTTTTGGCCACTGAATAAAACTAAGGTGTTTTTCTCCTCTTTGAGCTCCATATACATCTATATCATATTAAATGATCCATAAAAGCTTAATGTATCAAATATGATACTCAACAGTTATACTGTTACTCAACACTTGCAAACTTTTGTGTAAAGGCTTAATGTACTCTTCCATTTAAAAAAAAGACTTTTTAAATATGTCAGGCTTTACAGGGTTAATACCATGTTATTTATTTCTTCTGTATCTTGTTAATCAGGGAATGGTATAGACGGAACTTCACCATTACACTTCTGATGGCGAAAGTAGCTCTGCACAACACATGGAGGACACTGACTGGACAGACGAGGAGAACTGGACGAGAGGAAGGCAAAACTACATGAAATGCAAATAAAGACTGTAAATCAATCACTGCTGATTTGGCATTGTCTCAATGTGAAAGTGAAAGCGAAAGCATATGGAGAAGCTGTTAATTTTTATAATCTCAGTATGATAACCCTTCGAAACCTGATAGTTACTGCAGCTACACGTGGAGTGGAAATATGTGCGGTTCTGTAGAAGCCTTTAGAAAGCTACAGGCACATCTTAAAGCGATAGATCACCCAAAACTGAACATTTTATTAACATTTACTCACCCTCATGCTATTAAAAAATTCTGCCTTTTTTGCGTGACGTTCCTCTGTGGACCATATTTTGAGAAATACAGATTTAGTTAACCATGTAATCTTAATCTACGTAATTTTTTTTTAATTACCATTACACCTAAAAGATATTTATTTTAAAGCTAAAACAGTGATATAGTAAAGGTGTGTCTCTGCGAATCAAACATGATTTTAGAAAATGTTTGGTAAATAAAAACAGGATATTAAAATAAAATATTTAATTTAAAGCTAAATTATTTGCTACTTTGTCAATGTAATGTATATTATTTTGTATAAATCAGTCAGATAATATAGAACAAGCACCATACAATCCATGAACTGCCATATCGAGGTACATAAAAGTACAGTTTAAGATAGGTTAATATTTAAGATTAGGCTAATAATTCACAAAATTGTCAATAAAAGCCAAAATAGGGTTTCTTAATTTCTCAGGCTGCGTCTGGAGTATGGAAATGTAAAACACTTACACTTATGGCTAACTCCACTCCTCAGTTCCAGACCGGCTTTCTGTTTGTGTATTGCATGGTGACACACAAAGCTTATTGCATTGGCTTTTTTGACTCTTTTTGTTGGCAGAGAGGAAATATAAACTCAGAACAGTATGATGCTCAATATTAACATCATAAACAAAATGGAAATTTGGCAAATTATTTATGAAATTTACTAAATAAAACTATAAGGTTCAAAGTAAATTTTACAAAAATAATTTCAGCTAATATCAAAAGCTTGAGTAACCTAATAATTACTAATATCGCATACATAAACCAAAAGAACTTAAAAATGCTGCAACATGGATTCGATCTGGCAAATGCTATCAATGAAATTTACTAAATAAAAATTAAACAGAAACAATTAATGCAGCTAATATATATATATATATATATATATATATATATATATATATATATATATTCACTGTGTATATATACATACATACACACACATATACGTATACACCTACACACACACATATATATACATATACACACACACACACACATATATATATATGTGTATGTATTTATATATACATGCTGTATATATGTATGCATCTACACATACATACACACACACACACACACACACATATATATATATATATATATATATACACACATATACATACACACACATATACACACATACACACACATATACATACATACACACACACACATATATATACATACACACACATATACACACGTATATACACACACACACACACATATATACATACACACACACATATACACACACACACATATACACACATACACACACACACATATACACACACACACACACACACACACATATACACACACATATATACACACACACACATATATATACACACACACACATATATACACACACACACACACACACACACATATACACACACACACACACAAACACACACACACACATATATACACACATATACACACACATATATACACACATATATACACACACACACACACACACACATATATACACACATATACACACACACACACACACACACACACACACACACATATATACACACATATATATACACACACACACACATCTACAGAGTAGAATGACAAACAAAAGTGTCGCTCTCCTTTAATCCTGGGATGACATCATAATGAGGAGGAGGGAAGCTGCTTGGAGAAACACAACGCCATTTTCACTGAGTGCAGCTCCAGGCAGATGCGTCTGAGCTGAGACCTCAGTGTTTTCGCCGTCGCACATTATGACTGTGTGATTATGAGACTATTGTCTCTGCGCCACTCTGTGATTTGAGCTCGTGCTGGTGGAATAGGACTGTCAGTGGCAGGAACTTCCCCCGTCGAGCGCCGGAAGACTGGACACACACACAGCTGCCCCAAACCCTCACAATCAGGCTGCGGAGCGTCATATTGACTGGAGGTTCGTGGAGGGACGAGGAGGAACAAACCCTGTTACGGTTGTGTGTGATCTGGATGCTCCGCAGAACGGTAAGATGTTGCTCATGCTAACGAGCTAACAGTTGACTCGCGCGCTCAGCTCCTGCCCGAGGCTCGCTGGGAGTGTCGGAATAGCTGTCAAATGACTGTTTACATCGCTTTTAAACGACACGGAGATCGCTCTCTCTTTATTAGCGCTGGTTAATCGTTTGGATGGGTGCTCAGGGGTTTGCTATTGAGAGTCAGATGTGTGATATTAAGTCAGGGAGGGAGTAAGGCAAGGCAAAAGCCCAGTCAGGCCATGACACACAGCAGATGAGTGTAGTCACTGCACCAGAGAGCTGTCTGATACAGCCCTAAACCATCCAGAGAACCAGTGTTAAACCACTAATAGATCTGTGTTCATTCATTGTTAGTCACTGCACCAAAGATGTGTTCATGATACAGCCCTAAAACATTGGTGCTCAATCTTGGACATTTTTGAGCCTTTATTGAATATACCCGATTTATATCATAAGTTGCAGTGCTGGGAACCACTGCCCTAAACCAGAATATCAGTGTTAAATGAGCTGAAAATCACTGCAACGGGAATCAGACTACCATTTCTCAACCTGTGATAAAGCATTTCTGCAATAATGGGATAACATTAGTGTTGAAGTTCTCAGGAAATATATCGACACTATACCAGAGAGATGTGCAGCTGTAATTGCTGCAAAAGGTGGACATACCAAATAACAAAAAGTCTAAATAAAACAGTACAACTCACTTCATCTGATATTTGTTGTGCTCAGAGGCAGAGCAAACATCTGCATGTTTCATGAACATTATGAAATTAAATCATGTTTTGGAGGCAAAAAGGTCAATATTTTCAGATCTGTCAGGTGTGCTAATAATTTTGCCCACCACTGTGTTTATGTAAGTATATATGTATATATATATATACACACACACACACTAGGGCTGTGCAATTTATCGAAATATCGCAGATGTACATATCGCAAAATGCATATCGCTACAGCTTGCAATATTTGGGGCCATGAACAAAAGACAAAGAGAAAATCACTCACTGCTCTTACCTAAATAACTTTTGTAGTTTAAATAAGAATCAGTGCATATTGAATTCAAAGAGTAAATTCTAAGCAGTGTTTTCTTTTTCTTTTTTATTATTCAGTTCCTAAACTCATGTTAAAATGATTACACTAATGTTAAAATGGCATTTTTATGTAATGCTCGAGTAAAACACATACCGTTCACTTTCAGAAGTTGTTGTAGGGGTGCTTTCTTATTAGAATCAGAATCAGAATGAGCTTTATTCACCACTTAAGTGTGCGCAAACACAAGGAATTTGTTGTGGTTTTACAGGAACTCTTGGTACATACATACATACAAATAACCATATATATATATATGACACAAGATCGTTATAGAAGTTCACAGAACTGACTCAGCAACAGCTGAGTAAAACTGTTTCATCTGAGCATGTGGCACTTTAAGCATTATCGTATCGCATATCGATTATCGCATTATTTAATGAGTTATCACGTATCGCATTTTTCTTCAATATCGCACAGCCCTAACACACACACATTTATACACACAGCTTTTTTAAAAAGAAGACTGCTCACCAAGTCTGTATTTATTTGATCAAAATAAAAGAAAATTGATACTTTTATTCAGCAAGGACACATTAAATTGATCAAAAGTGACAGTTAAGACATTTGTTACAAAATATTTCAAATAAATGCTGCTGTTTTAAAATTCATATTCATCAAAAAATCCTGAAAAATGTATCATGTTTCCACAAAATTATTCAGCATCAAAATCTTTTCAACACTGGTCAAGAACCAATATTAAAAACCTAGCACCAAATCAGCATATTAAAATAATTTCTGAAGGATCACGTGACAGTGAAAACTGGAATAATGGCCACTGAGAAGTCTGCTTTGCATCATAGGAATATATTGAATTTTAAAGTATATAAAACAGAAATAATATTGTAATAATTTTTCACAATATTAATGTTTTTACAGTATTTTTGATCAAATAAATGCAGTAGTGAGCATAAGAGACTCCCCAAACATTTAAACAATCTCAGCTATGTTTGAAAGGCATTCAAACTTATTTGTAACCAGTGTTGGGGGTAATATATTACAAGTAACGCGAGTTACGTAATCAGATTACTTTTTTCAAGTAACTAGTAAAGTAACGCATTACTTTTTAATTTACAAGAGAATATCTGAGTTACTTTTTCAAATAAGTAACGCAAGTTACCTTTTTTTTTTTTACTTTTTGACAGCTCTCCTGTCCCCGTGTTGAGAGAAATCAGATGTTACTGTAGTTCCAAAACAAATATGAATATGCATTAATTCATCTCACACAAAAAAAACATAGATTCAGTATTCCTCAAAATGAATAAAAATAATGCAACTCAGAATATGACGCAAACCTGCAATAATTAAATGTTAAACAACACAAATATGCTTAATGTATTTAATCCCATTCTATTAACCAATGTCTTTGCTTCTGACCTTCGATGATCCAGTTCAACCGTACTAAAAAGCACAAATATCTCTAGACAAACATTTGTGTCTTTGTTTATTGCTGAAGTGTGTTGAAATTTATTCTTCTGCATTCTACTGTACGGACTTAAATTTACTTTCCCTTCAGCCTGAGGCTTATTCCTTTCACTTTTGGTGTAAAACGGTTTTTATATTTATTTATGAAATGAAAATTAGTTTACACAACATTTACTCAAAATGTACACACACAAACTAAAAACATTTATTATCCATTGACTATGCTGTCTGTAGATTTTGAAATTGACACAAGACTGGGGTTTATGAGGGAACTGAAAAGCTAATAATTAATAATGATATTGATTTATGAATTAAATTATGTAATTCAATTATTTAATTTAATTCATTAATTTATTTAATAACTAATTACATTTAATAACAAAAAGCATAAATGTGCAATTAAAAAGAAGTAATATTAAAATAAAAGCAATCAAAATAAAACACTTAATATTAAATATAATAATAAAATATTAAATATATGATTCACTTGCCTGCATTAATCAGCATCTGGGAACCATGCAAATGTGTCGTTTAATCACTGAAACATTAACTAAAAATCTCCCAATTTAAATAAGTATTTTAGGTCAAAGAGGTCTGGTTGATAAAAAATGTTTGGGAATCCCTCATATATATGCATCATAGGTTCACAGATTAATATACCATGGTATTTGCATGCAAGTCAAAGAATAAATTATATTATCATGATAAATGTACAAAAACACAAACTCACACTGCTATTTTGTTGTGTTTTTTGTTTGATTTATTATTAGTCTTCAGACTAGGAAGGTTTTGGACACAATAAACCTGATTTTGTAGGTTCTCCATTAAAACTAACATCACACAGAGAGTTTCTTGATTCATTGTTTCTGCTAACACTGTTTCTCTTCCTCTTTGTTCATGCACAGCTGATACTTAAAAATACAGACATCAAGATGCTTCCTGAAAAATAACAGAAAGAAGGTGAAGTTTGAGTGTGACTCTGCTCTAGTATTCACAGCAGTGTTTGAGAAATCAGAGGTGCTGGCGTCTGTGAAGCTGAGTGGGTTGGACTGAGGTGTCAGGGCAATCACACTCTGATGCAGAGTTCATTTAAATGAAGCACCACACTGCAGTTTCTCATGGTGGTCTCTACTCAAGGCAAAACGAGGACACAGACACCAACCTTAGTTACTCAGTGTTAATGTTACCTCTTGCCAACAAGGTTATCCTGTAGATTGAGATTTCACATTCACAGTACTGATCAAAAGTTTGGTAGGAAGAGGTTTTTTTTTTTAATGAAATTAATGCTTTCTTTCAGCAAGGATGCATTAAATTAATCAAAAGTGACAGAAAAGACATCTATAATCTTACAAAAGATATTTATTTCAAATAAATGCTGTTCTTTTTAACTTTATTCATCAAAGATTCCTTAAAAATGTATCATAGTTTCCACAAAAGTATTAAGCAGCACAACTGTTTTCAACATTGATAATAATAAGAAGTGTTTCTGGAGCATCAAATCAGCATATTAGAATGATTTCTGAAAGAACACTGAAGATTGGAGTAATAATGCTGAAACTAAAAACAACTTTAGTTAGTCTGAACTGAAACCAGGAATGAGACGGAGTTAAATTGACATGTTGTTTAGATCATGATGCAGGGAGGATGTCAAATGTTTCACTGAATAACACTTTAAATTTTGCTCTGTTTCTCATGCAAAGCTGTTACATGATATTAGAAAGCTTGGAATATAGCGCACAATATGGATGGATTATTATTATGATACTATAATTTTGACTCTTGACAGACACAGTCCTCATTGTTAAATTATAGGTTACTGAAATAATGACCAGTATAGTCTTTAAAAAATTTCATTTTATTTTTCACAGAAAATTATATCCTCATGCAAAGCTGTTACATGATATTAGAAAGCTTGGAATATAGCGCACAATATGGATGGATTATTATTATGATACTATAATTTTGACTCTTGACAGACACAGTCCTCATTCAGTTAAATTATAGGTTACTGAAATAATGACCAGTATAGTCTTTAAAAAATTTCATTTTATTTTTCACAGAAAATTATATTTTAAATGAGTAAATGGCAGAATTGTCGTTTTTGGGTGAACTTTAGTCTCTCCTGGTTTTTCCCTTGGTGTGTGGCCTTCCTGTAATGTCAGCAATATCTCTTCCTGTGACTCGACAGCGTGGATGTTGTTATAGTTACAGGCATTAGGTTCGACCCCCCTCTCCCTTCCTCCTGAGGTCACAGGAGAGTATTTCCCGATGGACAGGGTTGTGTGAGTCATGCTAGAGTACTTCTATCGGCTTAACAGCTCTGAGTAATGAGCCTTTCATCCAACCTGCTCAATCTCTTCAGCTCTCTGCTTTCTAATCGTAACTTCCTCTGTTTATTACTGCCTCTCAAGCGCTCTCTGTCTCAACCTCTCCAGGTTGAGTAATAAAGGACAGATCGTTATCGTTTGTAATTGA